ACTGGTGGGTTGTCGCATGATAATTTGCATGTGAGATGCACTGGAATTAGTCAATTGCAGATGGGTAAGAGTTTTAAGGCTTGTGGCACGTGCAAGATTTTTTGCACATAGAAGGCAGCACTGAAGGGGAATAGCTATTTATGTGAGAGGAGGTAAGTACTTATCGAAAATACATTTTCATTATAGGAAAATTATAACTTTTCTCTCACTTTTCTTTTTTTACCCTATAGGATCATATCCCTTATAGGTAGTGGATCCTGCTCTGTGGCAAGAGGTGTTTGTTCATATATACTTACTGGCTATTAGCCAAAATATCCACACTGTATGGTCTATAACCATTGGAGTATATATAGACCATCTGAGGTACCCCTGGCACACCAACTCTGATAGGTCGAGACTTGGAGGCTGGTGTATCAAAGAGCTGGACAAGGAGATTGGTTGGCTAGGCCACCCCACCAGTGAAAATCAGGGGCTGGACCCACCAATCTATATGCAGAATCTTACCAAAAGTATTGGGATACACCTCTGATTGCAAGAAAATGGGTGTGATGACAAAATATGCAAATAGTTTGACCTATAAAGGTGATTAGCGGTTTGCTCAGAAGTAATTTTGAATTTGTATGCCAAACGATGAGTACATGGAAAGAGCTAACAGAGTTTCAGGGGGGAAGGATAATTGGATGCTGTTTGGGGAAAATTTCTGTATGTGCTATTGCACAACAATTAAACATTCCCAGGTCAACAACTGGCAGTGTGTTGAAGAAATGGAAGTCCACAGGCGACGATGAGCCCAAGAAATGACCAGGTAGGCATAAAATAATGACTGACAGGAGCCGACTTGCCTTGAGAAGGCTGGTTACCTCATCTTACCATCAGACTGTAGAGAATCTGTGTTTGTAGATGCGAGCAGCCACAGACAGTCCTATAAGTGTTTCCATGACATGTTGAGAACTACATGTCATGAATTTTCACAGAAGAGCTGCAGCCCACAAGCCTTTGATAACAAACACAAATGCACACTGTTGATTGGCATGGTGCAAGGCACACCAAACCTGGACCGTGGATCAATGGAAATCGATCCTGTGGAGTGACGAGTCATGCTACACGCTCTTCTAGTCTGATGGACATGTTTGGGTATGGAGGTTACCTGGCAAACACTTATCACTTGAGTGTTTTGTCCCAACAGTGGGGGTGCTTCTTGTAGTATGGACTAGGTTCACTGGTTGCAATGCATGGATCCATGAATACTGAGTCCTACATTGATGTTCTGAACTATTCTGTGTGTCCTACATTGTGGCAGTTTTATGGTACTGGCCCTTATACCTTCCAACATGGTAATGCTCCATGTCACAAAGCAAGGATTGTGAAAGCGTGGTTTGAAGAGAATAACATCAGAACATTGCAGTGGCCAGCACAGAGCCCTAACCTCAATCTGATTGAATATCTTTGAGATGAACTGGAATGCAGAACTAGGGCAAGGCTAAGACGCCCCTCTTCAGTAGTGGAGCTTACTAATGCTTTAAAGGAGGAGTGGAGCACAATACCACCAGCTTTCTACCAAAAATTAATAAACAGTCTTCCACTATGCATTGAAGCAGTCATTAAGCTCAACACGCTATTAATTTCTTGGGATAAAGACATGTTTTATTCATAACTACCCGTGTGCCATGACTTTTGGTAGGATAGTGTATATATACATATATATATATATATAGATAAATAAATAAATATATTTCAAACTATTGATTACATTAATTGTTAATAGGGGATTTAATCAGCACTATAAAACAATAATGAATTAAATATCACATTACCATAGAGGTTGGGAGTTTAATTAGTAGAAATATTAGGGTGGTTTCATTTCTAATTCAAGAAATTTAAGGGTAACTGTCTTCCCACAACTGGATATAGACAGTGAAAGGCAGTAGAAGCTGAGATGTTGTGGGTGTAAGCATTCAGCTTCATAACCTTATTTGATTTTCAATGACGGCTGACTAGATTAATATCAGCATTTGGATTTTGTCTGATAGATGGGATATCCTCAATGCATTTGAGTGCTATTACCACAGACATTATCCACTGTGACAATAAGTTGACGACCTGGACCAATAATGGCAATGCAATATATATACCTCTCTGAAGGCCTATAATGCACTCTGTTCTCCTTGCTGTAGTCACCTATTCCATGGTCTCTGGGGTCAGGGTTCCACTGGACTCCCCAACATGCTTCTCCCCTTCTTTGAGTGGAGTATGGGAGTCCTTACCACTTACCAGTTCCTAGTCGCTTGGGTGTTGGACCATGGAGGCTTCTTCCTGGGTGTAGTTGGTGTTGTTCCTCTCACTGATTCATAAACTGGAGTAGATCCACCAAAATGCAGTTCATCCCTCCAATTGGGACCCCTATCCTATCATTGTCCAGATTGTAGGCTTTGGGTTAAGCTGGAACAGCCAACATAAGTTTTCATGCATGTGTTGGTTGGGAGTCCTTGTCCTACCACAGACTTGATGTATTATTTGGTCGGGATATCATCAGCATACTTTCTTGATCAGCTGAGGCTTTGAAATTCAGTATTGCAAGGAGCTGGACTGACTGACAGGTACTCTGGTTGGCTGGGGTATGTACTCCTGGCATACCACCTGCCGGTCGTGAGTTGTAAGTTCTGGTACCACATAGAGCTGGACCAGGAACCAAAAGTTTGGTCTCAGATTTGAGTGAACTGCCACAAAGGCACTTCCTTTCCTACTGTTGTTTGGATGTTGGTTTCCCAAGTGGCTGGTGGTGGTTGAGGATTTGTACACATGGGCCCTGTCTAGTTAGATGGAAAGGAACATCTTCCCTTCCATCTCATAGGCTTGAGGTGAAGATGGTTAGGACCCTCCTCCTACTACAGAAAGGTTGATAAGTACCTGATACTGCATGGTTTTGGACTAGAGTTTGTTCACCAAGTATGGTCTCATGCACTCCAGCCATTCTACACTTTGGGGTGCATCTATTTCATTTTCCACACCTTTACAATATTTGGTTGTGAATCCTCCATCTTGCCATCTCCTGGATTTTGATACCTGGGTGCTTGTGTTGAGCTGGACCAACCTACATGTCTACATTTATGGATGTGCTCCAACTCATTTCTGCCCAATTTATGCATCACTTACTACCTCATTGGGTGAAAGGTGCACCTAGTACAGATGTGGTACGGTATCCCATGGGAATGTTCCTCTCTCAACAGTGGTCACACTCCATGAACATTTTTTGGATGCTTTCTGAAGGGTGTTCATCTAGGTAACTTATGCACCTTGTCAATGTGAAGGTAAGATACTGTATCAAAGTTAATGTTTTTCTTCACTGAAAATATATTTCTGATAGGTACTTGCCTCCTTTCACACTTCCCACCCTTCCTCCCTACTTCTGGTGCTTCTTTTGTTCCTAATCTCAAAGTGAAAGTTAGGCTGAATAGTACACAGAGGGAGTAACCTGTTTCAGGAGAGTGTTTTGAGCTCCTATTTGTGGAAGGTTGCCACGTGATTATTTACATGCAAAGATATAGTAGAACCACATTAAACATGGGGTAGTTTGGAGTTTCAACGTTAGTAGCAAGTGAAAAAATCTAAACATATAGAGGGCAGCACTGAATGAGAGAAGCTATTATTTGAGAAGAGATAAGTACCTATTTAAAATATATTTTTGGTCTAGGAAAAAATACTAACTTTAAAACTTAGCTTTAGACCAATTTGAAGTAATGTTCCTGCCATCATAAGCCTTCTTTTTTTCTAACTAACTATGTTGTGTCCAAAAAATAATTCATACAGTTTTTATGTATCAATTTTAGAAAGCCAAAAACATATCACTTTTTAAATTATAAACTTATAAATTATAAATTTTAACTTATAAATTTCAATACTTCTCAGATCAACGTCTTTGTCCAAACCCATCTAGTTCCAATTGCAAATTATTTAAGTTTATGGTTCAAACAAACAATCATGTGATTTACATAGTGTCAAATTTGCACTTTTTCTTGGCTGTAAGTAATCTGATAGCTAATGTCATAGAGTGTTATTGACATTTTTTAAAATGCAGGATGTGATAGGAGGGGTCTGACATGTGGATTTGACTTTCTGGTTTATATCTCATTAAAAAAAATATCAGCAAAAAATCTCAGTCTGCTAAAAGTTTGCTTAAAGAAATGTCTGCTAAACAAAAGAGAAACTGGCTTTTAATGCTCAAAATACAATAACATTGAACAAAGCCAGGTTGCACATGACATCCCTATTCCATGTGATCTTCATCCAATAAGTGTAAGGACAGAGGAACTCTGCGCCATAACCTGATTTGATGAGAGAAAGATAACCTTCTATTTTGGGACATCAGAAGCAATATTTCTTGCAAGAAAATGCAGTTTGTTTCAAATTATTTAATCCAGGTCCTGGGCAGATCTAGAATCTGAAAAGCTAGATGTGTTTACTTGTGCAACTTTCTGTGCCCTAACTGAACTGAAAAAGCTACAGAAAGTTTGAAGAATTTACATACTAACTAAGGGAGTAGAAAAAAACATGCTGTTGTTCTGTACCACAGTTTTGAAATTATGCTGAAATAGGACTCATGTATCTATTTACTTGATATTGTATGTAGATTAGTCTACTGCCACATCTGGTGTTGGCTTATTTCTGTTGTGTCATTGAAGAGGGAAACAAGTAATTATATGAATTAGGAGTCTAGTAATGTGTAAACAGGTTAAGATCAAAATATGTTTCAAATGTATTATCACGTATTTCAATGCAGCTATTTAAACTATAGTCATTTAATTTACTTCATTCTACATGTAGTTGATTATGCTTGAGAAGTAACTATTTAGAATTTTTCGTTTGTTTCTACTGTATGAATAATATAATGTTACCTTGCTGCATTTTAGAGTTTGGCCAATATTGTAATGTAGAGCTGCATAGAGAACACCACAGTGTTCTTTGTTGGTGCAATTATAGTTGTTGTTTTTTCTTTACATCAGAATTAACAGGAGAAGGTAATTCCTTAAAAGAAGAATTTCCACAATCCATTATTGAATTTGAAGAAGTAAAAATAGAAAAAGAAGAAGAATATGATGAAACGGACAAGACTGAGGTAAGATGTAGACTTTGATTCTGCTTATAATTTTCATATTCTTTATAAGAAATATAGTTCTGCCATTTAGATTTTTTTAAATATGTGTTATAATGGTTTCATTTCAGATATCTTTTTTGGTTTCTAATTAGCCTTAACAACTTGTTTCAAGAAGGCCAATTAATGAGGAATCTGTCTTGTTAAGATAACTGTTTATTTCTCCATCTTTATTTTCTATTTTTTGATAAAATGTTATTTGTAAATTATTCAGAAATAAACAATAAAAGTATGAGCATTCAGTTAAATTTTGCTCTGTCTTAATTTTTTGCTCTAATACAGTGGTTTCTATTAAGCATTTTCCAATGGTTAATATCCTATCATTATTTACCAATATTGATTGATTATCAGAAATGTATATTGCAAATATGTGCAGTATGATATGAAAATTAACTTAAATATATATTTTTGGATGATTAGAGAAACAGATGGAATAGACATTATTATTCACTAGTTAGCCAATTGAAAATTAATAATAGTTAAAAAAATACAAATAAAAAAAGAAGACTTAAATTACAAAATGGTTTAATGTATAGTATCCAAATGAAAAACCTGGAGAGTGTTTCAAAAAAATAATGATAAAAAAGAGAGGATAAATTTAAAGAAAAATTAACCTAAAATTGTATGAATGATAAAAACCACAATAGAAATCATATAAAAGTAAATAAACAACAAAGTAAGTAATAATACAAAGAACAAACTTCCTATCATTGTCCTTATTAAGAGAAAAGAAAAGAGAATTCAGAAATAAGTATTGGTAATTTTGTAGTTAAAAGTGGATTTAAGTGATGTTTAGGGACAACAAAGGACCTACTGATCCATCTCAGCTGTCCCATCCTCTAAATTAAACTATTATAAATGAAAAAAAACACTTAAAGCCAGCTTTTGTCATTCATATAGTTATCAAGCTTTCTCTTCAACTCACTTAAATTTAGTGCCTCGACAACATTTGAAAGCAACTAATTTCAGAGGCTAACCACCTTGTTAGAAAAATAAAACTGTCTTAGCTGAAG